GAGGAAAAACAACAAATACAGCCCAGACCAAATAGAAAGAAGAAAATAACCAAGATCAAAGAAGAATTAAATGACATAGAGGCTAAAAACACAATTCTAAGAATCAATGAATCCAGGAGCTGGTTTCTTGAAAAGATAAACAAAATGAACAAGCCTTTAAGTAGGCTCTGAAAGAAAAGAAGAGAGAGGACACAAATAAACACAATCAGACATGAAAGAGGAGAGATTACAACTGACTCCACAGAAATAAAAGGGATTGTAAGAAATTACTATGAAGAACTGTACACCAAGAAATTTGAAAACCTAGGGGAAATGGACACATTTCTAGAAAAATACAATCTTCCAAAACTCAATGAAAAAGAAGCAGAAAATCTAAACACATCAATAACAGCAAAAGAAATTGAAGCAGTAATCAGAAAACTCCCATCACACAAAATCCCTGGACCAGATGGCTTCACAGCAGAATTCTACAAAGCAGTTAGGGAAGAGCTAACCCCTATGCTTCAAAGACTATTCCAAAAAATCCAAGATGTTGGTAAACTCCCAAACTATTCTCATGAAGCCAGCCTCATCCTAATTCCAAAACTCGATAAAGAAACAAGGAAGTAACATTTAGGCCAATATTGCTGATGACAATAGACGCTAAAATCCTCAACAAAATATTAGCAAACTTCATCCAACAATACATTAAAAAGTTCATACACCATGACCAAGTGGGATTCATCCCAGGGATGCAAGGATGGTTCAATATTCACAAATCAGTAAATGTAATACATCTCATAAACAAGAGCAAAAACAAAAATCACATGATCAAATCAATAGATGAGGAAAAAGGTTTTGATAAGATACAACACCCATTCATGACAAAAACACTCAGCACAGTGGGAATAGAGGGAGCATTCCTCAGTATTATAAAGGCCATATGTGAGAGAACTACAGGCAACATCTTACTCAATGGGCAAAAACTAAAATCTTTTCCACTAAGATCAGAAACAAGACAAAATTGTCCACTTTCACCACTTCTATTTAATATAATATTGGAAGCTTTAGCCACAGCGATCAGACAAGAAAAAGAAATAAAAGGCATCCAGATCAGAAAGGAGGAAACAAAACTGTCATTGTTTGCAGATGACATGATAGTGTACATGGAAAACCCTATAGACTCTACCCAAAAACTCCTCGACCTAGTAAATGAATTTGGCAAAACAGCAGAATACAAAGTCAATATCAAGAAATCAAAGGCATTTTTATACTAACAATAAAACAGAAGAAGGAGAAATCAAGAAAAAAATCTTATTTGATATAGCAATAGATAGATAGATAGATAGATAGATAGATAGATAGATAGATAGATGATAGATAGATAGATAGATGATAGATAGATAGAAAGATAGACATAGATAGATATAAATTGGTAATAACCTTAAACAAGGAAGTAAAAGACCTGTACTCAGAAAAGTACACAACACTGAAGAAAAAAATCAAAGAAGACAAACAAATGGAAACATATACCGTGTTCATGGATTGGAAGAATTAACATCATCAAAATGTCCATACTACCCAAAGCAATTTACACATTCAATGCAATACCTATTAAAGTACCAATGACATAATTCACAGACATAGAACAAACACTTCAAAAATTTATATGGAAACATAAAATACCCCAAATAGCAGTTACTATTTTGAGAAAGAAGAACAAAGTAGGAGGGATCACAATACCTGATATCAAACTGTATTACAAGGCCACTGTAATCAAAACAGCCCGGTACTGGCATAAAAACAGGCACATAGACCAATGGAACAGAACAGAGAGCCCAGAAAAAACCCAAGTTTCTGCAGGAAATTAATATTTGACAAAGGGGCAGTAACATAAAATGAAGTAAAAATAGCCTCTTCAACAAATGGTGTTTGGAGAACTGGACAGCTACGTGAAAAAAAAAATGAAACTTGAGCACCAAGTTACACCATACAAGAAAATAAACTGAAGGTGGATAAAATACTTAAATATAAGCCATGACATCATTAAAGTCCTAGAGGAGAACATTGGCAGGAAACTTTCAGATATTTCATGCAGCAACATTTTTACTGATATGTCCCCTAGAGCAAGAGATATAAAGGAAAGAATAAACAAATGGGATCTCATCAAAATAAAAAGCTTCTCCATGGCTGAAGAAAACAATATTAAAATAAAAAGAAAACCAACTGTATAAGAAAAAAAATTGCCAATGATATCTCAGACAAGGTTTTCATTTCAGAATATACAAACAACTTACACAACTCCACTCTTACTAAGAAGACAAGCAACCCAATTAAAAAGTGGGCAAAGGTCTTGAAGAGACACTTCTCCAAAGAGGACATACAAATGGCCAACAGACATATGAAAAAATGCTCAATCACTAATCATCAGATAAATGCAAATTAAAACCACAATGGGACATCCATACTTCACAGCTGTTAGGATAGCCATCATCAATAAAACAGTGAACAATACGTGCTAGCAAGAATGTGGAGAATGGGGGACCCTTTTGTACAGTTGGTAGGAATGCAGATTGGTGCAGCCACTGTGGAAAGCAATATGGAGATATCTCAGAAAATTATACATGGATCTGTATTTCAACCCAATGTTTCCACTTCTGGGAATATATCCAAAGAAATCCAAAACACTAAGTCGAAGCAACATAGAAAGTTCTTTGTTCATTGCAGCATTATTTGCAATCACCAAGATATGGCAGCAGCCCAAGTGGCCATCAACAGATCAGAGAATAAAACAACTATGGGAAATTTACATGATGGAATACTACTTGGCACTAAAAAGGACGACAATTTTACCCTGTGTGACAGTATAGATGGATGTAGAAAACATGATGGTAAGTGAAATAAGTCAGTCAGAACAAGACAAATACCATATGATTTCACTCATATGTGGAATCTGATGAAAAAAACTGATTAGACAAGCAAAACAGACACTGACTCAGACAGAGCAGAAGACAGCTGGTCATGGTTGAAGGTTAGGGGGTGGAGGAATTGAGCAAAAAGAAAAAAGGATTCATGGACATAGACAAAGGAGTAGTGATGGCTGGAGAGAGGAGGGTATAAGGGGACTAAAGGGTAACAGAAAGCAAATACAATATAGATTAAATAAAAAAATACAGGACTAAAGAAGACAAAGAATCATAAAAAGGAAACAAATTAATTTGCCTGTAGTGTTGGGAGTCAGAAGCCTGATGAGTCAATGGGCTAAAATCTATAATCTGCAGGGCTGGGTTTCTTCTGGAGGCTTCAGGGAGAACCCACTTCCTGTCCTACCTGAGTTTCTCATTCTGCGTGGCCCTTTCTCCATCTTGAAAGATAGCCATGCAGCACCTTTCAGTATTCCAGTGATTCCAACTACTCTTCCCTCTTGTTCCAAATGTTGGGACCACGGTAAGTACATTAGACCCACCTACATTACATGATCATGGCCTATCTTATCTTATAGTTAGCTGATTAGCCACACTATTCCATCTGGTACTTTAATTCTTCCTGGAAATGCATAGTAACATATTACGAGTTTCTGGAAATTATGAGGTAGACATCTCTGTTGATATAGAATAAAGGCTTTTATTCTACCTACTAAAAATGTTTACAACAATATATTCTTGGTGTCACATGAGGGCCCTTATGTAAAAATATCAAATAAGGTATTTTTCAGAAGTATATCATATGATGTCATTCATAAAGTCTTATTTAAAATAATTGAACAATGATTTTATAACAGCTTCTATAACGATTAATGTGTATTCTGCAATCAAAATTGCATGGAAAATAATTTTTGGTTCTGAAGACTTAAATCGACCTACCCCCAAATTGAACACAGCCACAGCCTTACTACTCCAAGTGTGGTCCAGAAACCAGCACCTGTAGCATCAACACCACCTGGAACTCATTTGATTCAAGGAACCCCTGGGCCCACCAGGACCAGCATATGAACTATAATCCTGGATGACTTATGTGTACCTTGAAGTTGGAGAAGTGCTGGTATAGGCTAGGCTTTGTCACCTTCTCAGGCTGACAATAGGGTGTTTGGATAATTCTATGTGATGGATACTGTAAGTGGTTAGAAGCTTCCCTTCGCACATTGCCAAGTGTCTCCAGGGGCAAAATCATGTCAAATACTGGCCCAGAGTTTGAAAACTGGAAGCAACCTGACAGATTCCAATCAAGGCCCATCCCTCACTCAGTTCATAACTTTGAGAAAATGCCTAAACCCCTTCTAGCCCCATTTCTGCAAAGGGGAATGGTGTTTATATCAGTAATACCTCATAGAATGGACTTTTCAAACATTTAAATCAGACAGAATCAATAAGGTACTAGGCTTTGATTATATGGATCAAAGTATCAAAGTGTACATCTCATAATTAACAAATATTTTATCATGAGGTACTAAATGACAGCTCATAACTTGTGATATAAGTAAGAAATTTCTAATTATTCTGAAAAAGGGTCAGGAAGGAAAAGTGTGGTGGTCAGGATTGCATATCAAAGGAACAGAGCCCCCCACCCCCACTTTGAAGGGGACTAACAATGCTCTGGAGACATCATGCCTGTGTCCCCACCAAAATTCAGTGCTTTAACAATCAAAGAAATCTGGTCTTCATGGGTTCTATAGTCTTAGACTATGGAGAAAATCTTAATTCAGTGTTGGAATAAGGTAGTAGGTGGTGAGACCCCATGGAAGCAGGTGAGATCCAAAACAAGGAGTCATAAAATCTAGATCCTCCTGGCTTCTAACCTGGTCTCTTGAGACCTGAGAATCATTATAAAAAATTTCTATTTATTGCAGAGCCAAGAGGGAAATAGTGTACTTAGATGTTAGAAAACACGAGGGAAATGTGCCTGACAAGCAGATATTCAAAGAGCTGTAAATATCTCCCCCACTCCTACTGTCCCTCAGCTTATACAATGTTGCTGGACAAACATGGTTGTTGCTGCTGATTACTAAGTCTGGCTTGGGAATGATGCTTCACTCCTTGCTGTTTTGTGTGGAACACAGCTTCACTCTCTGTCTTCCACCCTCCAGGAACCAATTCTGACTTGTACACAGAGACCAGAAAACCTGTTCATGGGAGTCAGAGAGTCTGGTAGGTACATCAGGAAAGAGTCAGAGAGAATGGAACCTGACAACTTTCACCTCAGGCATGGGAACCCTAATCAGCCCAGCCCTGAGACCAGACATCTCTGTTTTCCTGGTTAAAAACCTAATTTATACTTAATACATTAAGAAGGATGCATCTGTTTGAATCTGCACTCCTGGGCCATAGCTGACAATTAGGTGATGGGACTGGGAGTCAAGTGGGAACTCGCTGCACAATGACTGAGATGCAGGAAATGGTTGCAGGAAAATGGAAACACTTCTCAGAGAGTTTTGCTGTCTTCAGAAATGAAATGGAGCCTTAGGTGTGCAGAGCAGTGCAGTGAAGTGAGAGTGTGAGTAATAAAATGCTAAGCCAGGGTGCCTTTGAACATGTTGTCTATTCATTGAAAAGATCCAGACCAGTGAGGCAGCACCTGGTAGCAATGGTTAGTGAGGAAGACATTGCAGTATCTTCTCTCATGCTGAATATTTACATGAGAGTATATTTAATAAGTCTAAAGGGGAATATTAACTAGTTTATCTCATTACTGGTAAGGCTGCAATATTTTGAGATTTTGTGCCCTTTTGCTTTCTACATTAAAACAGTAGAAATTTCTATCCCGCACTTAGCCTTTTCATGCAATGGTCATATCTCTATGCTTTGAATGAGAGATTCTGTCGTGCTCTTGGGAAATATAAATTGAGGATTGACCAACTTCTAGATGAAGAGTATAGTGTACTGAGTAACAAGTTTTGACAATTCAGTGATGAAGAAACTAAGGTCACACATTGTACCTTAAATATTAATGACACCAAGATATCCTAGTTCACAGCATTTACTTTACATTTGTGCCATGAAAACTTTGCTGTCCCATCTAATGAGATAGAATATCTCCAATCATTTCAATATTTCTTTTCTGGTTTTCTTGGATTTTCAAAGTAAGATGCCTACCTGACATAACTAATGAATACAGAGACTTAAACTCAGCCCCTCCATCACATGTCACTGGATGACTGACTACTAGACTGCTAATACTGCTGGGAAGTACTCCCACACCAGTTGTTCTCAGTGAGCACTGAGATGTGGGTACAGTTCTAGGTGTCAGAGCCTGGCTGGAGTCTCACTGGCTAATCTCAAGGTGTCTGCAGGGCTGGGCTCCTCCTGGAGCCTCAGGGGAGAATTTGTTTTCTCCTCAATCCCTGTTTGTATTGTAACCACCTGCATTATTTGGTCTCAGGGCCCTTCCTACTTCGTCAAAGCCAGCGGTGCTGCCCTTTCTCCTGGTCTCCCTCTGCTTCTGGGGAAGCACTGTGCTGACCTTAGTCTCCCAGGTGATCCCGGCTCACCTTCTATCTTAAATCAGCTGATCAGCAGCCCTGTTCCTTCAGCTACACTCATCCATCCCTTGCTTTAAATAATAACATATTCAAATGTACTGGGAAATAGGATGCATACATCTTACAGATGTCCGAATCCTGCCTGCTAAAAGTTGATTTTCAGATGTGTATTCTGTATAAGTCAAGGGCCCTTACATAAAGGAAGCACAGATTCAATCATAACCTCTGGAATGAGTGAATACACATTTCCTTCAAAACTTCATGCAGAGATAATGTTTGGATCACAGGAATGAGAGTGACTGCAATGGAGTCTAACACAGAACCACAGCCTTTTTTCCCAGAGCCTGGTCCACAGACCAGGACCTGCAGCGTCAACACCACCTGGGTGCTTGTCAGAAACACAGCTTCTCTGACCCTGAAGGGCCTGCTTAATCACATTCCACAGTTGAACTAGAATTCTGGGACTCTATGTGCATTTGAAACTGCAAAACCGCTTGTCTAAACTAGGTTCTATCACCTTTTACCATTGTCATTTGGGGAGGGATAATGATTTGGGGGAGATTTGTGTGTGTATATTTGTGAATTGTAGGTGTTTAGTAGTATCCCTTCAGGAGTTGCTAGAGGAAAAATTATCTCTGGTGGAAATCTGCTACCTAGAAGCAACCTGAAATAATTATAACCATGCTCTATCATATGCTCTGATATTACCTTTGAGCAAATTACTACATCCCTGCAGCTCCTCCATAAGGCCCGGGTACTGGCCATTCCCTCTGCTGGGCACATACTTGCCCACATAAGCTTGATCTCCATCTCTTTCTCCCTTGAGTTCTGTGCTCAAATGTCACCTTCCTGGCCAGTCTTGCCTAAAAACTTATGAGATATAAAATGGCCTACTCGCTTTCTAATTTAGACATGCTTTTGTTTTCTTCATAGGATTACTTACCATCTGTTGTTATATTTAGTTCTATTATTTGCTTCCATATTCTTTCCCCAATATTAGCTTGTAGGGATATGTGTTCTTCAGAACCCTCCACTCACAGAGCAGACAGTGCCCAAAATATGGTCAATACTCAATTTGTATTCCTGAAATACATGATATATTTCTCATTAAACCTGTGAAATATTAGGCAGCAGAAAGAAAGAAGGAGCTCCTACCCTTCCCAAGAGCATGGATGGAACTAGAGAGCATTATACTAAGTGAAATAAGCTAGGTGATGAAAGACAAATACCATAATGTCTCACCTTTAATTGGAAACTAATCAACAAAACAAATGACCAAGCAAAATACAGCCAGAGACATTGAAATAAAAAACAAACTGACAGTAACCAGAGAAGAGTGGTGAGAGGGATAATAGGGGGAGGGCCATCAAGGAACATGTATGAAGGACACATGGACAAAGCCAAAGGGAGTAGGTTTAGAGATGGGAGGCAAAGAAGGATGGAGTGGGGGGCCCATGGTGAGATGAAAATGGAGGCAACTGTACTTGAAGAACAGTTTTTACAAACTTAGTATTCCTGATACCTTAGGAAAAAAGTAGGTTAGGAAAAAAATTCCTGCTCTGAGATGACACGGAAAACTCCTAGAGCAGAACAGATCTGTCCCAAAAGATAAAATGTATTTCTTGACTGCAAAATATAAACAGTAGCATCAAAGCTATTTGAGTAACACTGGCTTATATGAAAATTACTACTGTTCCCTTTCTCCTTCTTGAAAGTCAGCTCCACATCATGGCAGCAGGGAACCTTACAAGAGTGTCAGAATTCCTACTCCTGGGACTATCAGAGGCACCAGACCTGCAGCCCATTCTATTTGGGTTGTTCCTCTCCATGTATCTGATAACTGTGTTGGGAAACCTGCTCATCATCCTGGCTGTCAGCTCAGACTCACACCTCCACACACCCATGTACTTCTTCCTCTCCAACTTGTCCTTGGTAGATATCGGTTTCACCTCCACCACCATCCCAAAGATGCTGGTTAACATCCAGACGCAGAGCAAAGCTATCACCTATGCAGGATGCATCACCCAAATATATTTTTTTATACTGTTTGGTGTGTTGGATGACTTCCTCCTGATGGTAATGGCCTATGACCGCTTTGTGGCCATTTGTCACCCCCTGCATTACATGGTCATCATGAATCCCCGGCTCTGTGGACTGCTGGTTCTGGTGTCCTTTACCATGAGTGCCCTGGATTCCTTGCTACAATGCAAGATGGTGTTGCGGCTCTCCTTCTGCATGAACTTGGAAATCCCCCACTTTTTCTGTGAACTCAATCAGGTGACCCAACTTGCCTGTTCTGACACCTTTCTTAATAACATGGTGATGTATTTTGTAACTGTGCTACTAGGTTGTGGTCCCCTGGCTGGGATCCTTTACTCTTACTCTAAGATAGTGTCTTCCATACGGGCAATCCCATCAGCTCAGGGGAAGTATAAAGCATTTTCCACCTGTGCATCTCACCTCTTGGTTGTCTCCTTATTTTATGGTACAATCCTAGGAGTGTATCTCAGCTCTGCTGGTACCCACAGCTCACAGTCAGCTGCAACAGCCTCAGTGATGTACACTGTGGTCACACCCATGCTGAACCCCTTCATCTACAGTCTCAGGAACAAAGACATAAAGGAGGCTCTGAAAAGATTCTTTGGGATGTCAGGTAAAATAGGGACCATCTGCCTGAATCAGAAAATGTAACTTTGCATTCTTGACTTTAAAAGTAAAACCAGAAAGGTTTTATGTAATCAGATTTCGGTTTGAAAATTTGTTCCTTTTTTTCTCTGTCGTAATTTCCATTTTTTTTGAGTCAAACTTCTCCATACAATTTAAGTTACCATTGCTTTATACTAGACATGCTTTATACCAGACACTTTTTCTCTTTCTCCTTATTCTAAGGTCAACATAGTTTTTTTCACCTGGATAATAACCCTTTGCAAATTACATTTTATTTCACAACAACATGGATTTCTTAAGAATCATATTTTCTGAAGTGATGTACATTGTTGTAAGTAAGTTGTTCTTGTTTTATAGATACAATGGTCATAAATTGTATTACTATGTGAAATAATTTCACTTTGTTACTCACACCATTTATATACTTTCATTCCAGGAAGACCTGAAACCTCAATTTTAACTTTTGTGTCTCTCCTTCTTTATACATCAGCACCTTAGCAGCTCTTCCTGAGAATAAAGACTTGATCATTGTTTCCTGTTAGTTCAGGCTGTTGACAGTGATGCTGTAGGATAGGAAGGCCTGGACACTGGTGATGGGTCCTGCTACTTGATCCTCAGACCACAGCAATGTTGTGGCTGGACGGCCCCTTGTGGTCCTTATTATAATTGCAACAATAATCAGGGAACTGTGACAAGGAAAAGTTTATTTTTCATGGATCCCCAATGGTCATAGCATATTGAGGGCCACAGAAAGTCTCTCAATGAGGGGCAAGGAAAAGGAGGGAGAGAGAGAAAGACAGACAGATTGAGTTGGGTAAGGAGGCTTGGGTGCTTCCTTAGCAGGCTTATCACATAGCTGGCAGTAGGATTATTCGACATGGATGCCTTTGAAACTGATGCCTCATATATCAAAAGTGTAATGTCACTCTGGCTGGTATAGCTTCATGGATTGAGCGCCAGCCTGTGAACCAAAGGGTCGCTGGTTCAATTTCCAATCATGGCACGTGCATGAGTTGAGGGCCAGGTCCCCAGTAAGGAACATGCAAGAGGCAACCACACATTGATGTTTCTCTCCCTCTGTTTCTCCTTCCCTTTTCCTCTGCCTAAAAATAAATAATAAAATCTTTTTAAAAAGTGTAATGTCCAGCATTTACACTAGAAACATATCATTGGGTTTTATGACCAATCTCCCAGTTTTATTGTCTTATTAAGCTCTATGTCCAGAAAACCTACCATAGTACCTGGAAAAAAACTGTTGAACTTATAAAAATATGAAATCTGTCCAGAAGGTATTAAGTCATATAACATGAAAAATAGAGATGTTTATTGAAGAAGATACAAGATACGAGAAACATCGTACGTAAGACAATGACGCCTTAGTTCCCTTCAAAGTAGGCACCTTGGGACCTCACACAGTTCTCCAAAGTGTCATCAGCTGCTTTGTTGTATTTCCCTGAATCTTGTCAATGGTCTGAAACCTCTTTCCTTCAGAGGTGATTTGAGTTTTGGGAAAAACCGGAAGTCACAGGGTACCAAATCTGGGTTGTAGGTAGGCTGAGTCCCTGGGTATTATGATGTTTTGCCACAAAATTCTGCATGAGATGTGATGCATGAGGGGGTGGGTTGTCACAATGAAGCTGCCAATCACCAGATGCCAAAAGCTGCAGCCTTCTGAATCATCCCAATAGTTTCTATGGAGTAATGTCCAAGCTTAGGACAAATTTTGATGCAGATTCATTGCTGTACTATCTCAGTCATTTTGAAATTGACAGCCACACAGTACAAATGCTCACTCAACAGTGTCTACTACCCCCACTGACTAGCACAGTGAAGTCATCATTGTTCACACATGTGCATTCCAGTCCACTTCCTTGGCTACCAGGTTACATCGCTGTTGCACAAACCTTTCTCATTATATTAACAAGGCTGGAACTTTTTAGGACAGACCTTGTGTGTCTCCCAGTGGTTTCTATTTAAATATGAGGCAGAATAGAAAGGAGTTATGGAAAACCCAGCAGGTGGAATGAATAACTAGAAGGAGACATCCTCTCACTAGAGCCCACTGATCCTCCCATTTTGTCATAATCAAAGAGAAATTAGTTTATGGCAGGGAAATCGCTCTGGTAGGTGTGGAAGTCAATAGCAAAAACTCTCTAGAATCAGATCATTTCCAAGTGGAGGAAAAATTGACTATATCCACCCCAAAGCTCATTATACCATCATTGAGATGAAAACTGACACCACGTGTAGAAGGGGAGCATATGGAGACAAAGGTAATGAAACTTCCAGAAGACCATTTTAGGAACAAGGCCCTCTCCCAAACAGAAGGCAGAGTCAGAATTTGGCACCCCAAAGCTTGGAGAAATTTCTCTCCCATCTTGGACATGAATAAAACCCCAAAAACTAATGGACTGTGTGCACAAACTCACTCTCCTGTTAGCCTCATCCACTCTGGTTCATACTTTCCTTTTATAGGGACCCACCTGCCTGGGTCTCTTTCTTTTCCTCTACAAGAATAAAACTTGTTTTATTGTCACCCTGATTTGTCCTTGAAATATTTCCAAGGACAGTCAAGGACCCGAAGGTCGCCTGACATACACAATTTCTCTGATTGCACCTGGGCATTTGAAACCCCTTTTGTGCAGAGGCAGTTCAGTAACAGATCCATACATAAGATGGACAGTGACAAAGGGACAATGAGGTATATGTGACATTCTGAACTAAAAGTGAGGTAGGGCACCTGGAGCATTAGAAAGGAGAAAGGTCATTAGCAGAACAGTAGGAGGAGTAGATAGATGTTCAGTAATTAGAGTTTGTCCTGTCCTAACTTTGTAAAGAGTTAAGAGTTAAGAGTTACTCTTTGTTAAGAGTTACTCTTAACTTTGTAAAGAGTTAACTCCGCTGATAACTTTTATTATGGGCAAGGCCCTGAATTTTTTTTATTTTTATTTTTTAAATTTATTTAGTTATTTTTCAAGTACAGTTTTCTTTTGTCAATTTCTCCCATCCCAACACCCCCTCCGCCGCGTCTCCCCACCTCCCTCCCATCTCCCCCCCACAGACCTCATCCCTGTGTCTTTTATACTTGTTCTTCAAAATCCCTCCCCGTTTTTCCCTTTCAATTCCCTTCCCTCTCCCCTCTGGTCGCTGCCCACTTGTTCTCTATTTTAGTGTCTTTGTTTTTATTCTATTTGCTTGTTTATTTTGTTATTTAGCTTCCTGTTAAAGGTGAGATCATATGGTATTTGTCCTTCAATGCCTGGCCTATTTCACTCAGCATAATGCTTTCCAGTTCCATCCATGTTGTTGCAAAGGGTAGTAGCTCCTTCTTTCTCTCTGCTGCATAGAATTCCATTGTGTATATGTACCACAATTTTTTGATCCATTCGTTTACTGATGGGCACCTAGGTTACTTCCAACTCTTGGCTATTGTAAATTGTGTTGCTATGAACATTGTGGTGCATAGGTTCTTTGAAATTGATGTTTTAGGATTCTCAGGATATAATCCTAGCAGTGGAATTGCTGGGTCAAAAGGCAGGTCAATTTTTATTTTTCTGAGAAAATTCCATACTGTTTTCCATAATGGTTGTACCAGTCTGCAATCCCACCAACAGTGAACTAAGGTCCCCTTTTCCCCACACCCTCTCCAACATTTGTTGTTTGTTGCTTTCTTTATTATAGCCATCCTGACTGGTGTAAAGTTGTATCTCATTGTGGTTTTAATTTGCATCTCTCTGATAGCTAATGATATTGAGCATCTCTAAATCCCATTTGATATAGCAAAAAGAAAAATAAAATATCTGGGAATAAACCTAACCAAGGAGGTAAAAGACCTGTATGCAGAAAACTACACAGCACTGAAGAAAGAAATCAGGGAAGACACAAACAAATAGAAACATATACCGTGTTCATGGATTGGAAGAATTAACATCATCAAAATGTCCATACTACCCAAAGCAATATACAGATTCAATGCAATACCCATTAAAGTACCAATGGCATATTTCACAGACATAGAACAAACACTTCAAAAATTTATATGGAATTATAAATGAGCCCGAATAGCAGCTGCTCTTTTGAGAAAGAAGAACGAAGTAGGAGGGATCACAATACCTGATATCAAACTGTATTACAAGGCCACTGTAATCAAAACAGCCTGGTACTGGCATAAAAACAGGCACATAGACCAATGGAACAGAACATAGAGCCCAGAAATCAACCCAACTCTCTACAGTCAATTAATATTTGACAAAGGGGGCAATAACATAAAATGGAGTAAAGATAGCCTCTTCAGCAAATGGTGTTGGGAGAACTGGACAGCTATGTGCAAAAAAATGAAACTTGAGCACCATCTTACACCATACACAAAAATAAATTCAAGGTGGATAAAAGACTTAAATATAAGCCATGACACCATTAAAGTCCTAGAGGAGAACATTGGCAAGAAAATCTCAGATATTCCAAGCAGCAACATTTTTACCAATATGTCCCCTAGAGCAAGGAATATAAAGGAAAGAATAAACAAATGGGATCTCATCAAAATAAAAAGTTTCTGCATGGCTAAAGAAAACAGTATTAAATTAAAAAGACAACCAACTGTATGGGAAAACATATTTGCCAATGATACCTCAGACAAAGGTTTAATCTCCAAAATATACAAAGAACTTACACGACTCCACTCTAGGAAGACATTTAACCCAATTAAAAAATGGGAAAAGGACTTGAACAGACACTTCTCCAAAGAGGACATACAGAATATCCAGAGACACATGAAGAGATGCTCAATATCATTAGCTATCAGAGAGATGCAAATTAATCTCTCAGCAGAACTTCTTGAAGAACGGTTTTAAAAAGTAATGTACATGCTGCCTGTAAAGCTGATGTTGTATTTGGGCATTTTTTTGGGGGGGTCACATGAGGTAGACCATTCATGTGAGATTTGGTAATAATGTTTTCAGGTTACAGATTTTTGTGGGAGAGAAGGATATTTTTCTTATCAAATTCATGTATTATTGGCACATAAG